AAGCAACTCTCCTGCCTCAACCTCCCAAGTAGCTAGGATTACAGGCACCCGTCATCACACCCAGCAGATTTTTGTATTTTTAGTAGAGATGGGGTTTCACCATGTTGGCCAGACTGGTCTTGAACTCCTCCTTCAGACTGGCATTGAAATCCTCCCATCTTGGCCTCCCAAAGTGCTGGGATTACAGGTGTGAGCCACCATGCCCAGCCTCATCTATGAAAATTTTATGGCCAGGTATGGTGACTCATGCCTATAATGCCAGCACTTTGTGAAGCCAAAGTGGAAGGATCACTTGAGGTCAGAAGTTCAAGATCAACCTGGCCAACAAGGCGAAACCATCTGTACTAAAAATACAAAAAATCAGCCAGGCGTGGTGGCACATGCCTGTGATCCCAGCTACTCAAGGAGCTGAGACAGGAGAATCTCTTGAACCCAGGAGACGGAGGTTGCAGTGAGCTGAGATATCACCACTGCATTCCAGCATGGGCAACAGAGCTAGATTCTATCTCAAAAAGAAAAAAGAAAATGTTATGTTGCTGTTGTTGATAGATAAGGGGTCTTGCTCTGTCACCCAAGCTGGAGTGCAGCGGCATGATAGATTATAGCCACCACAACCTTGAACTCCCAAGCTCAAGCAATCCTCCCACCTCAGCCTCTCGAGTAGCTGGGACCACAGGCTAATTTTATTTTTTGTAGAGACAGAGATCTCACTATTATTGCTCAGGCTGGTTTTGAACTCCTGGACTCAAGTGATCCTCCCACCTTAGCCTCCCAAAGTGTTGGGATCACAAAGCGTGAGCTACCACACTTGGCTACAAAAATTTTAGATTAACACAGGACTACTTTTTCAAAAACTTTACTAAGATATAAATCACATACCATACAATTTATCCATTTAAAATGTAAAATTCAATGGTTTTTAGTATATTCACAGATATGTGCAGCCATCACCATAGCCAATTTTAGAACATTTTCATCACTTCAAAAAGACATTTTATTATTTTCGCTATCATCCTGTTAACTCTTTGTCCTTTACCACCTCCGGCCCTAAGCAACCAATACTCTACTTTCCATCTCCATAGATTTCCCTATTCTGGATTTTTTTTTTTTTTAGACAGAGTCTCACTCGCTACCCAGACTGGGGTGCAGTGGTGCGATCTCAGCTTGCTGCAACCTCTGTCTCCTGGGTTCAAGTGATTCTCCTTTCTCCGAGTGATTCTCCTGTCTCAGCCTCTAGAGTAGCTGGGATCCCAGGTACTCACCAGCATGACTGGCTAATTTTTTTGTATTTTTAGTGGAGATGGGGTTTCACCATGTTGGACAGGCTGGTCTCAAATTCTTGACCTCAGGTGATCCACCTACCTCAGCCTCCCAAAGGGCTGGGATTACAGGTATGAGCCACCACACCCGGCCCCTATTCTGGATTTTTATATGAATGAAATAATATAGTATGTGGTATTTTGTGACTGGCTATTTCACCTAATACAGTGTTTTCAATGTTCATCCATGTTGTAGCATATATCAGCACTTCATTCTTTTTTTTTTTCTTCAACTTTTAAGTTCAGGGGTATATGTGCATGATGTGCAGGTTACACAGGTAAATGTGTGCCATGGTGGTTTGCTGCACAGATCATTCCATCATGTAGATATTTATTTATTTTTATTGTACTTTAAGTTCTGGGATACATGGGCAGAACGTGCAGGTTTGTTACATAGGTACACATGTGCCATGGTGGGTTGCTGCACCCATCAACCCATCATCTACATTAGGTATTTCTCCTAATGTTATCCCTCCCCTTGCTCCCCATCCCCCTATCACCTAGATATTAAGCACAGCATCCACTAGCTATTCTTCCTGGTTCTCTCCCTCTCCAAACCTCCATAGCACTTCATTTTTTTTTTTTTTTTTTTTTTTGAGACGGAGTCTCACTCTGTTGCCCAGGCTGGAGTGCTGGAGTGCAGCACTATCTAAGCTCATTGCAACTTCTGCCTCCCGGGTTTAAGCAATTCTCTGCCTCAGCCTCCTGAGTAGCTGGGATCACAAGCATGTGCCACCACACCCAGCTAATTTTTTGTATTTTTAATAGACATGGGGTTTCACCATGTTGGCCAGGCTGGTCTTGAACTCCTGACCTCGTGATCCACCCACCTCGGCTTCCTAAAGTGCTGGGATTACAGGTGTGAGCCACTGTGCCTGGCCACTTAATTTTTTTTAATGGTCAAATAATATTCTATGGTATGGATGTATTACTACATTTTGTTTACCTATTGACACATTGATGGACATTTGGGATGCTTCCATCTTTTAGTTAATATGAATAATGCTGCTATTAACATTCATGCAGGCCAGGAGTGGTGGCTCATGCCTGTAATCCCAGCACTTTGGGAGCTCAAGGCGGGCAGATCACTTGAGTTCGAGACCAGGCTGGACAACATGGTGAAGCCCCATCTCTACAAAAAGTACCAAAAAAGTTAGCTGGGCATGCTGGTGTGTGCCTGTAATACCAGCTACTCGGGAGGCTGAGGTTGGAGGATTGCTTGAGCCCAGGAAGTAGAGGGTTGCTTGAGCCCAGGAAGTGGAGGTTGCAGTGAGCCAAGATTGTGCCCCTGCACTTCAGCCTGGGTGATAGAGCTACACTGTGTCTCAAAACAAAACAAAATGATAATAAAACCATTCATGCACAAAGTTTCTGTGTGGACATGTTTTCATTTCTCCTGGGGCTATACACCTATAAGTAAAATTGATGGATCATATGATAACTCAATGTTTAATCATTTGAGAAACTGTCAGACTATTTTGCAAAGTGGCTACACTGTTATACATTGCCTCCAGCAATATATGAGGATTGTTGTCACATTCTCACTAACACTATCTTAAACGAATTTTCTGCTTCTGGCCATCCCAATGGAATGCAAAATGGTATATTACTATTCCTTTGCTTTTCTTAGAGTGTCTCACTCCATTGCCCATGCTAGAATGCTGTAGTGCAATGATGGCTCACTGCAGCCTCAACCTTCAGGGGCTCAAGCGATCTTCCCACTTTAGCCTCCTGAGTAACTGGGAGTACAGGCACATGCCATCACGCCTGGATAATTTTTTTTTTCTTTTTTTTTTTTTTTAGAGATGAGGTCTTGCTATGTTGCCCAGGCTGGTCTTGAACTCCCGGTCTCAAGTGATCTGTCTGCCTCGGCTTCCCAAAGTGTCGGGATTGCAGTTGTGAGCCACGGCACGTGACCCACTATTTATTTATCAAGACAGGGTCTCACTCTGTTGCTCAGGCTGAGTGCAGTGGTGCAATCACAGCTTACTGCAGCCTCGACCTCCCAGGCTCAAATGATCTTTCCACCTCCAGCCTCCTGAGTAGCTGGGACCACAGGCATGCACCACCATGCCTGGATAATTTTTTATTTTTTGTCGAGACAAGGTCTTACTATGTTGCCTAGGCTGCTCTTTAACTTCTGGACTAAAGTGATCCTCCCACCTTGGCTTCCCAAAGTGCTGGGATTTTAGGCATAAGCCACCACACCTGGTCAAAATTATTTTTAAATACATTTTTCAAACTCTTTTTTTTTCTATTTTAATCTCTGTATAATATTATGTGCGAATTGTATTATTATTATTTTTTTACCTGGTTTGCTGCAGACAACCATTTGCATCTTGCGGCAGAGATTGGTCAGTTCGCATAAGAAATTATAAACGCGATGGCACTCAAGTTCATCCCAACCTGCTGTTAAGGTCTGAGGAAAATAAAATAAAGGAAACACTGCAGATGTTCAGACTATCAAATCGAAACATAAGTCACACTGGGCACGGTGGCTCACGCCTGTATTCCCAGCACTTTGGGAGGCCAAGGCAGGCAGATGACCTGAGGTTAGTAGTTCGACACCAGCCTGGTCAACATGGTGAAACCCTGTCTCTATTAAAAATACAAAAAATAGCCTGGCGTGGTGGCGGGTGCCTGTAATCCCAGCTACTCAGGAGCTGAGTCAGAAGAATTGCTTGAATCCAGGTGTCGGAGGTTGCAGCGAGCTGAGATCACGCCATTGCCCTCCAGCCTGGGTGACAAGATCGAAGCTCTGTCTCAAACAACAACAACAACAAAAACAAAAGTCACCACTATCTTATGAGTGTAACTGTTTTTAGTACTTGATTAAGGTGAGGTATAATTTTTATTCATTATAGAAGTATCAAATTAACAACATATTTACATAAACAAAACTTGGAAATCTCCAAAATCCAGTTTTTTTTTTTTTTTTT